CACGCTTTAATCAAAACATCACTCTTAATTACTTTGCCCAGTTTGTGAATCACCTCTGTAGCTAAAAGCAGGGACATTTTACCACTGAAAGAATGTCATTTAGCTGGAGGAGACACAACCTACTGAAACTGAAAGAAGTGTATAACAGAGCTTTTGTTTTTTAAAGTCTGATTAAGTCTGATTCCACTTTCCCTCATGCATCAGTCTTGATGCATCAGCACCAAGTATCTTGGATGAGGCAAGTGTGAAAGTGGTAGTGTGCATCTTTTCTCCCTTCAAACCAACACCACTAGAGCTTCCCCGTACAGTACTAAATGAACCAACAGACAAAACATCAAACAAGCAAAAGCGGGCGTTTCCTCACATTGCACCACAGCCGCCCCCAGCACTGAGCTACCCGAGAGGAGCCAGAGCCAGGCAGCAGGACCCAAGGGCAAGGTCTCGTGATGGAAAAGAGCACGCACCTCCCAGTTGCCACCCTTTTCCTTACTGGGATTGAGGATAAGGCTAGCCCCATCTTTGCTGCTGTCGCCTCCCGGGAGTATAAAAAGCTTCATTTGCTCCCCGTTGGTAAGACTGCAGCTGGTGGAAGGCAAGCGACAAGGGAGGGGATAATTAGAGAACCTCCCATCAGCCTCTTCAGCTAGGACCTGCTCAACAGGACAGCTGCTTCAGCTATTCCCCGTCCCCCTTCACATACAAACAGACACAAAAGGCCTGCTGCTGTAGGGATGTGCACAGAGGTTGCGTTTTTTCACCTGAATTGTCAGTAGGCCGATTTCAGCTTTGTATCTTTGGAGCTACTTGTGTCCTGTGGTTGATGTCTTCCACGCACATTTCCACAGCCAACTGAAAGGGTGCAGCACCACAGTGAAGTCCGTCCATCAGTCAGAGCCAGAAAAGTGACATTCTCCTGCTAATACTTAAAAAACCCTAAAACTTGCAATAAAATCAGTCTCAAAACACTCAAGTCTAAAATTAAAGTTTATTTAGTTTTAGAAAGAAACAGGAAAATACGTACATGAGTATCTTAGAGTTACACAAGTGACAGCGCGTTGTTTCTTTTCCATGTGTAGTTCCCACTACTGCCTGGCACTTTGAGATAACTGGATGTATTTCTCAGTGCCTTTTGGACGTTTTACAACACACACACAGAAAAACAGCTTCCGGTGGAAATCTGGGCAATATTAATCCACCTCAAAAATCAGTTTTTTAATTTGGTTCAGTACTCAGTATAGGGAAGACACATCATAAACATGACCTAGGCCAGCAGTATTGCATGTAACGCTGGTGAACAACACAGTCCGAAAGCAGGCAGCTGCCTCCCGTGTGTGCGGGTGTGCAAACTGAGGCTGCCTGACTGAGCAGTGCCTGATAGCTCACGTGCTGTGCAGCAGGTCATCTGCCAGTCCCAGGGACACTATTTGACTACAGTATTTAAAATCTTTTTCTTCCATCTAAATGGCTTACCCAGCACTTCTTTGCAGACACAGTTCCAAGCGCAACCGAAGGGAACTTTGCCTGATCAAGGAAAACAGGACTGCACTTTGCTTCACACACATACAATCAAAAAGTATGGACCACTGACTGACAAAGTGTACAATCAGCAGACTATTCAGCTGGTACATTATCTGTATGGAATACAGCTTATCATATATACTTACTTTTGGTATGAATACAGGGTCTTTTTATTAATAGCTTTTTTTTTTTTTAAAAGTAATGGTCATATTGATTTACCTGGCTCGATTTGAAAGATTAAACTCTTTTTGCCACTAATTCAACATCTTTTCCACTTAACGGGTCTTTAATTCCCACGCAGAGGACAGCACTTTAAGCACAAGTGACTGTGCCTGATGTTAGGCCAGTGTTTGAGCACTTTGCTGGACTGGGACTAAGGCCATCAGCTCCTTGCACTACTGAGCACTGGAGAGACGTTAAAAGAAAAGCAACACCACCACAAAAAAGTCAACTCACCATGCCTAACTCTGGACTTTCAATTTAGGTACCCACATTGAGAAGCCAGTCTCCCTGCATGTTCAGTAGGGCAGGGAACCTCATCCTTCCCTCTCTTAACCGATTACATATGGTAGGTAGAGAAACTAGTTTCCTGACTTCAGCATTACATGCAGATGCCCCTCAGTGGGAGGTATTTACTCCAACTGATGTTCTTGTTCAGAAAAATGTGTTAGATGGTGAAATTATCATGTATCTAGTTAACTAGTGTTTGTTCTCAGTAAAAATCCTGATTAATATGGAAAATAAATGCTTTCGACAGAAATGGTGGTTAAAATATTTTATTTTTTATATCATAGAACATACTGCTGTTTACTTTAAATCACTTCAGAGTAAAGGCACACATTGTTAAAAATACTTCAAATTTACACCACATGTACAAATGCATAAAACAAATGTACATGTCACCAAAAAAATACAATATGGCTTCATAAGGTTGAGGTGGGGCTGGGACAATTCAACATATATTTAAATTTTACAGGATGCTGTTAACACTGAAAGGACTGACTAGAACAGAAAAGAATGGACGTAAACACTGATTATGTTACATAAACAGTACAACACATTGAATATACAACATTGAGCATTTGTGTATGGATTAATAGGATTGTTAGTTCTGCAAATTCATCAGGCTTTCCAGTGCCACTGAGTAAACAGTGCATGCATATGATCTGCCAGTTTGCAACAGTGGGAAGATAAATTGCAAATTCTCTGTCCACAAACAGGCTCCTTGAAGAATCTGCTGATATGCTTTGTAAAAGAAAGAGTGAAACAATAGACTTAAGGTATTAACTGGAGAGAAGAACTGAATAATGAACGGACAACTTACATGGTAATCACTTCTGGCTAAAAAGCATAAAACACTAAGTCTGCAAGAATGCTCCATGACAATCATTTAGCATTAGTCCCACCCAAGTTTAAGGCTCATATCTAAAATTTACCTTAGATTTGTTTTCCTTTGTGTAAAATTACCTGAGCACAGATATCAAAGATCTACAGAGCTTTTAAAAGATCTGCAGATACCTCAAAAATCTGTAGATAACTTAAAGCAAAACATCAATATATTGAATTCTACCAGCTAAAAATTCTTAAAAAAACAACCAACAAAACAATATTTTGGTAGGTCAGTAAAGCCAGGAGAATGAGCTTAAGCTTTTGCTTTCGTCTTTTAAAAATGTACATGAAATGTAATAGAATTATTCAAATAGGACTGCTTAATTGTAAACAATACATTAAACATTTTTAAAAAAACAATCGGGAATCAAAATTCAGGCAGTCACTCTAGTCTTCTATAAATTGTTTACAAATGCTGTTTTTCCTCTTGCTAGAGATGGCTGGTGGTTTCTTAAGCACTGATAGGTGGAAAATGAAAGGACCCGCCTCCACTGTATTCTATATTATCATTTACACTTTGTGTCCAAGAAGTGTGAATCGCTGCCATTCTCATTTGCTAAAGTTTATTCCCTGCACAACTGTAAGGCCCAGATCCAGAAAAGCACCTACCATCGTCTTAAGAGCTCTGCAGGATCAGGTTAGTTTTAATAGGTCTAAAGATAAACATGCACTTAAATGATTTGCTGCACTGGTACTCATAAAATTTTCAAAGTGCAAGGCAGAAAAGCATCAGGTTGCATGGACAGACCAGCTCCCAGCAAAGTCAATGCCATCACGGAGAGGAGCATTAGACGCTTAATTAAAAAAGCTTGAAAAAGACAACACTGCACAGAAGATACATGTACATACTTTCAGCAAACAATAGACTGTATGGGACGATTTCCAACACAAGGCTTTGGAAATACACTCTACTAAAAGCAGTTTGTTGATTTTATTGAACCAACTGAAAACAACAAAGAAACACAAAACACAACATCACCTTTTCCTCCTCCTGTCTCACACACTGGTTCCTATCTTTCATTCCCAAAAGAAATTAATACAGATAAAAACTTCACTTTAAGCGATTAGCAACTGTATATGAGCCTGAGGAGCAAATGGGACTCTTCCATTCAAATACATCAGGTTAAATAAAACTTTGATATGACAATTACAGTTATTTGTTTTGTTGAACTGGGACTAGCTGCTTGCAGAGGGCACTTTACAATCATTGACAATCCTGTATAAAGGGTACCAAAAAAATTCCTATGAAATATGAACCTGGGATAAAAAAAAAAAAAAAAAAAAAAAAAAGACCAATGATGGATGGTTGTCCTGGATAATTAAGAAAGAAAATCACAGTAGTTTGAAGTACCCATAATTCTATGTATAAATAGTGGGTAATCCAAATAAAATGCTACAACTAATTTGAAAAACTAAATTGAACACTGCTTTTCTATTAAATAGATTAAAATATTCATCCACTGAGAAATTACATTGATAAATAAAATATTTTCATGTATCAAAAGTGAGGGGCAGGTACTATCGATTCCAGACTTCTTGTCCCAATAATGAAAGGTCCGAGAAACAAAAGTAAATTGTACAGTAGTTCTAGTCTCTTAAATTTACAATACTGAATCCAGCAGGATTTGGCTAAATAATACAGTTTAAATAAGCTAATCTAAAGGAACAGTGTCCTGTAAACATCTGACACAAACCACATTGCATTCTTATGGTGTGGCTATACCTTCTCTATGCAGGAGAAAGACAATTCAACTGTTGGTGGTAACAAGGGACGCAATCTAAAGGCAACGTTCCTGTTCTTCAGTAAGGCTTGTAAAAAATTTGAGCAGTGTACGTATGACAGCCTGTACAATTCTGAAAATTTTGGAAAGCTCTTAAGTTTAAAAAAAGCCTAAATGTTTTAAGTATAAAACACACATTGAGAAGATGTCCTTCTAAATTATGTGTAAAAGTGTCTGGCACCAGAAACAACCACTAGGTATTACTATACCTAAGGAAAAAAAGCAAAGAATCACTCAAGATTCTTTGGAGCAGATGCAGCCAATTAGGTTACTTTGTGTTGTTCTGTTCCTCTGGAAAAGAAGTCATGAACATACACTCTTTAAGCTGTCTGTACTACATCATCAGTAATATATATTATATATACAGTATGCATATATATAATATATATTTGCGTACATATTTCTTTTACCTCAATCTGGAATCACGTGGTTTCATGCAACACACTTACCAGGAATCAAACCTATTCATTAGATCATAGCTGGTGTAACTTTAGTATCAAATATCGGTTCAGCGTTGCTCAGCATCAATCACCTCTGACTAGAATCCTCATCTCCCTCTTCTTTCAGTCCAGCTCACATATGTTGCCTCTATCACCCTTTTTCAGCCACCTTCCTCACATAGTACCTCCACTCGATGTTCAATGCTGAGACCTTATTTCTGTCAGCTTCTGAAGATAGCTCTGTGCTGCTGGCATCGAGAGAATAAACTGAACTGTCCTTTGACCTATTCGGTAGCAGCCATATCCCATCAGTCCAAAAACTGTTGCTTTTATGACAAATTTGAAAATCTTACTTGAAGCTGATGGAGGAGGCACACTGAAGCAAAAGATATAAAACAATGTTAACACCTGCATAGCTGGAAAGAACAGGCATTTTCCAATCAAAACAAGGATCTTTTCTCCCCTTCCCCCTTATAGTGCAGGAGACTTTCAGGTAACATATGTGTCATGAACAAACAATGTATTCTTTCATGTTCAAGGGCTACATCCAATTAAATAGTGACAACAACAATAAATAATAATAAAGCTTTTTCCACTTAGGTATGATGCCACTCTTAATGGCTAATGGACCTTGACTTGCTCATCACCCTATCAAAATAACTAAGACAACATCAAGACTTCTTGAAGAATACTAGCAGTTAATATTGTTTGTCGAACTGTTTATAATATTACTATGCATATCTCTGCGCAGAGACAAAAGTCAGAAGAACCACAGGACACAGCCTAAGTCCAACACCTGTACAGTCCACTCACTGTCATTCAGGGTAATGGAGGAAAACAGAGCTTGGATATTCTGGGTAACACGTGTTAGGGCCTGGTCAGGTTTGTGCGGCCAGAAGGGGCAAGTCTGGAGCCAGGCTAGCCCCTGCACAGATTCGGGGGGTGTTTCAGCAAGGTGAACCCCTGGATACCAGGCAGGCTTACCAGCCTAGCTGCAGCTCCCAGCATGAGCATGCGGAGGCCAAGCCCCTGCAGTGCTCTTGGCCTTCGGAGCTGCACAGAGGATAGCGCAGACAAATCAGAGAGGCTTTGCATGAAGCTGTCTCCAGTCTGGCAGGTATTGCTGGCTTTGAGATCTTTACAGAGCCACTTGGAAGTATCTGCACTGGCCACCTGGAACCAGGAGGGCAGAGGATAACAGGCACACCAGGTCTACCCCTGCCTTCAAGCAGTCTTATTAACTTAGCGTACGAAGCAAACAGTTAATATTACCTTCAAAACAAAGCTGGCTTTGAAAGCACAGCAACATGCACATGTAGCCCTGCACCTTCACTAACAGACTCTGCGGTACCTCAGCTGGCCCTGCACCCACAGCATGCCTACAGGGGACGGAGAGGTCTCTGCACATTGTTTCAAAAAATCCACAAGTTCTTACTTTTTATATGCAGAAAATGTTTCTAATGTATTCGGAAGCAATCAGTTACAGTAGTGCAAAAACATTATGGGCACACTCAAACCAGGTTAGATGCGCTGAGATTAGGATACAACTAGCCTGAGTTTAGATCCATGTGCTGAAACTAGGGCAAAGTTATAACTGGTAAGATTTTTGCATAGTAAGGGAATATACAGGAAGAGTTTTAAAAAAGCATACACACTGAACAAAGGATGGGATAAAGGCATCCCTTTACACCTTCTTACATGCTTCTCTGTCGCTTCTTGTCAATTCTAGTCCCTCAGCGCAATTGAAAAAAATCAATTCATAACAATCTGAAGCAAATAGTAAGGTCTGCTCAGAGTCAGGTTCAATGCATGAACTTAAAAATTGGAAGTCTGAGAAATGTATATGTTTCTATCCACATGATTTCCAAAATCACTTTGCAACTTGTAAAACCTAACTAAATACCTGTAAAAGTCTTAAAACCTTCTCACTTTAGAGAGGTGACAACCACTAACAGACAAAACACCCCCGTAACTCTGCTCTGCAACTGCAGTGCAACAGCATGAGAGGTAAAAAAGTTTAACGAGAAATGAATCTCAAATATAGTAATATTATGAACGTCATTTGCTTCGTATTACTTTAGAAAGTCAAGTTAATGCAATATTAATGTCTTATGAAAGATACTGGTAATGGTTCCACTTAGTTATGGCACTGGCACGGTAAAGACAATCAAGTCAAAGAGCCTAAACTTCGATGAAAAAGACCCTCTATGTAAACTTGAAGACACATAGTCAGGCTTTCAGCTATTCAGTTCTGTAATGTCAATGATGCAACCAACATCAACCATACAATTATATGGATTTGGGCAACCTCATTTCACAGCTTATTTGCGAGGGTGCAGAGGAACATGGACATCTAGTTTGTGACTCCAGGCGAGGCTTAGCCTTGAAAAAGTCTTATTTCGGTACATTGCATTCTTGGATCCAGACACCAAAAATCTCTCTAAATCGTATTTTAGATGCCTAAATACACCATTAAGGTGAGGCACGGTCTCTTCTGTTTTTCAGAGCCTCTGAAGAGATGGGCAAGGTGCTTACATAAGCACAGTAAACAGATGTGAGAAGATAAAGTGCCAATATTTGAAAGGCTCTATTATCGTAAACCACGGCAGACCAGTACTACCAGGTCGTACTATAATTCCTCCTACATTTCTAAAGTCCTGACCTTTGTGGCTTTATAGGATACATATAGTCTGAATATTTCGGTTCTTAAATTCCTTCTTTACAAAGCACATACATCTATTTTAGTAGGTACTTCGGAGCAAGAGTTCACCACATACGTGGCTTACATCAGCCCATATTTAGGTATACACATTAAAACGTTATTACTTATATATATACACAGTTAAAAATAGGAGATGAGCAACTGTGATAGTAAGCTTGCCAGAGCTGGCAATGTCCTGACACAACAAAAGCTTTGAATCCAACAGTTTATATTTACCTAAGCTAGACTGGAAGCCTGGTTTTGTTTTCACCATCTTCTACAGCCCTCATTTGAATTCTTGTTTTAAAGGCCTTAAATGTGGATCAATGAATTTTCTTTCTAGACAAGGGCATCTTCTCATCTCTACTTCCCTCGATATCCAACTATTTACTTTTTTTCCTTTGATATTTTCTTTTCCTTTGCTGTAAGCAAGTCTGCAAGCACTGCACAGCAAGTCAGTGAGCTGACAGGGCAGGGATGACAGTAGTGATGTTTCTTCAAGCTGTGACAAACAACCAAAAAAACCCCAAACAAACCAATTATTGCTGTCTTTTAGCAAGAGACACTGTTACGTCAACACATAGGAAAGGATGACTGTTACCTCATTATTTGCTGGATGTTTAAGTCAGAGTTCCAGTTCTTTTCAATTCCAGGTACATGACCCATCCCAACAACACCAACTACAACAGCTGGGATATATTTTCTAGGTTCAGCTAAGAAAGAGAAATAGAGAGAAAGGAACACATCGGTAAAAGAACTAATTTCAAGCTATAAATAAATAGGTAATGTGTGAGATTACAAAACTGAATTTTCCAAGAGGAAGGGACTCTTACTACTAGATATTAAAACTCTGTTACATACTAAAAGTTAATACTCATGTCACCTACTGTCTCTTATTTTGAAAGTCTGAAAAAAATCAGCAGAGTTTCTGGATTTTCAGGAAATGTTTGTTTCAGTAAACAGACCTGGCCAGGGCTCATACTCCAGCCTCTGGGTGAGGCTCAGCAGATGCAAGCTAAATTAATTTCCTTCCTTCCCTGTGTGGGTCATGTTTCTGTACTGCTTATCAGGAACAGCCCTGGTCTTTGCTGTCTCCTGAACAGAGCGCTTTCTCCACCACTTTGGACAGGGGCTACGAAGCAGAACGAACAATCGGAGAACAGCACTTGAGACCACACCTGCCCCTGTTAAGTTTACTGTTACAGACCTGGCCTCGACAAGTAACAGCAAAACCCATACCATTCCTGTGCAGCAGCTAGCCAGTCACCATTAGACCACTGCAACACATGCCAGCTCTCACCCTCACCTCACCATCCAAATTCCACAATACCCAGTGGAAGCTAAAATGTTGTTCCTGAAAGTTTTGGGATTACCTCTCCCCCAGTGAAAAAATGCCACCACACCATGATAAAAATAATTCACAGAAAACTTTCTAATAGCAATCAGGCTGCTTTCCTATGGGGAAAATTATACAGAAATATAATACAGAAATATAAAATGTGAGTAAGTTCCACTGTCTTGCTTTAAATATCCACCCTTGATTTTTCCAGGAATAAGTAAAAGAGTTTGAAAAGTAGCACCTCCCCCCAGCCCTGAAATGAAACAAATCTGTATTGAAAACACCAGAACTATTATACACGTTTTCAAAATTGTTTCTTTGGACTTGCCTTTTCCCAGCCTATTCTAGGGTTGCTCTAAATCAGAGCTGCAACTACAACAGAGGTAGAGCACAGCACCTCAGCAGAATGGGCTGTCCACAGCACGTCACATCCGCTCCAACCTCCACCCTATGTTCCTGTCCGCTTTGGGGCAGGATTCAAAAATGACACCAGTAATGTTTAAAGCCTTGCCTGAAACTTAGTCCTGGAAGAAACTTTTATCCCTTTCTCAGAATATTTTGTGTGGAGTAAAGATCGAATGAAAAACTAAATGTGAAAGTTTCATTTGCAAGCTCTTTGGAAGAGTTCACCCAGACAAATAGTCAGACGAAGGCTAGGAACAAATCAGACCTAGTTTAGGAATATACCAGACCAAAACTGATGAGTGGCGTTCCTCATGGGTTGGTATTGGGACCAGCACTGTTTAACATTTTTGTCGGCAACATGGACAGGATTGAGTGCACCCTCAACAAGTCTGCCGACGACACCAAGCTGCGTGGTGCGGTTGACATGCTGGAGGGAAGGGATGCCATCCAGAGGGACCTTGACAAGCTTGAGAGGTGGGTCGTGTGAACCTCATGAGGTTCAACAAGGCCAAGTGCAAGGTCCTGCACCTGGGTTGGGGCAATCCCAAACACAAATACAGGCTGGGCAGAGAACGGACTGAGAGCAGCCCTGAGGAAAAGGACTTGGAGGTGTTGATTGATTAAAAGTTGGACATGAGCCAGCAATGTGCGCTCACAGCCCAGAAGGCCAACCGTATACTGGGCTGCATCAAAAGAAGCTTGGCCAGCAGGCTGAGGGAAGTGATTCTGCCCCTCTACTCTGCACTGGTGAGACCCCACCTGCAGTACTGCATCCAACGCTGGGGCCCCCCAACATAAGGACATGGACCTGTTGGAGCAAGTCCAGAAGAGGGCCACGAAGATGATCAGAGGGCTGGAGCACCTCTCCTATGAAGACAAGCTGAGAGAGTTGGGGTTGTTCAGCCTGGAGAAGTCTTCCAGTACCTGAAAGGGGCCTACAGGAAAGCTAGAGAGGGACTTTTTACAAGGGCATGTTGTGATAGGACAAGGTATAATGGCTTTAAACTGAGAGAGATAGATTTAGATTAGATATAAGGAATAAATTCTTCACTATGAGGGTGGTCAGACACTGGAACAGGTTGCCCAGAGAACTTGTGGATGCCCAACCCTGGAAGTGTTCAAGGGTAGGTTGGATGGGACTTTAACCAACCTGGTTGAGTGGAAGGTGTCCCTGCCCATGGCAGAGGGGGGGTTGGAACTAGATGATCTTTAAGGTCCCTTCCAACCCAAACCATTCTATGATTCTATGAAAAGTACATTTGAGTCCTGCAAAGAGTGTCCAGGAATTTCCCCTTACTATGTCCCTACAATAGCAAATGATTTGGACAACAGTGATTTCTGCCCTATTTCTGCTCATTTGAATTGTGGTGTTTTGTATTTTACTTATTTTACTATGAATCTTAAGTATATAGTTTTCCTTTTTTTTTTTTTTAAACTTTTTGCCACTTGTGAGCATGAATGCATAGAACAGATTATATGTATATAATACAAATGCACAGCTTCTCTGTGCATACAAACGCAAAACTGTCTCTGGCATTGTCTCTTGTTAACTAAGAGACTGAGACACATGACTATCAGTCAGGTAGTCCCTCACATTCTTGTCTTTTATGGTCCCATCTTCTATTTTAAGTCCTTCATAATGCATATAAACCCCTTCCCGTTTCATAGGCATTCACTAAACCAGTGATCCAGAGACTGAGCTTTTAAGAAGGTAAATTTAAAGCGGGGTGGGGGGAGAGCAGGGGAATTGCTAAACAATTCCTCTTGTGGCTCATGACCCAGCCAGGACCAACAATAAAACTAAATTTCCAGCGTGCTCTTTGGACCAAGAAACTGTATGCATCTGTGCCTCTTTCAGCCATATCAACTGAGCTAACAGAAAATACTGTGTGTTTAGACAAATTTTATGAAGGCAGCATTGAGGTAAGATTAGGCAAGGGAGATAAAAGAACACAAGTGCAACCCCCTCACTATTTTTTCCAATCACAAGACAGTCTGCATTGAAGTGACTACAAACAGTATCTTAAGACAGCAAATAAGAGGTAACCCGTACCTCAGTATGCTTATATATAGGAAAGGCATGCAGATCACATACAGCAGCAAAATACTTCCAAAGGCTAGAGAAATGCAATATTCTGTATGCTTATACCTTGCTGACACATGAAGAGTCACACATGTTTCAAGCAAGAAATGTGTTCCTGAGCAGCTAGTGATGACAATTTGGTGAGGTAACAAGGTGGAAGTGAGATATTCTTTACTTCTATAGGTGATTGCAACAGAAGAGTAATATCCCTTTTTAATTTTAAGCACTGTAATCTTACGTGACATGTGGCACACATGAATAGAACAGAACATCCCAGATTTCCTGAGAAGAACCGAACGTTGGACTAGTACAAAAAGAACACTTTGCTGGTTATGATATCTGCTTTAAAACAATTACTTTCTGAAGCTTGAGGTAGTTCTATCTGCTTTGCTGCTTGCTTCAGCATGTAGGTCAAGTAAATATCTCGTTCCGAGACAATCGTTCGATGAAGATCAGGAAATTCTCCAATCATTTCTGCCATCATCTGCTCCAGTAAATCCTTCTGTTTGCATTTCTCCACATCATCTTTACTGAAAGAAAGATAAGTTTTCTCACTATCTGTAACGCTTTTAAAGCCCAATGCAGACAAACCAATGAATAAAAACAATTGGGTATTATATACATCATTCACATAAACCCACACTCTACAGTTCTCCTCCCCCAGTTCTCCTCTTCAAAAGCAAAAGAAACTCCCTAAACCTGTAAAACTGGATACCTAACAATGCCTCTACAGTGAGGGAAAGGGAAAGAAGAGGGGTCACTTGCCTCTAGGCAGTACAACTGGATTTTCACCCTTCCCAGTTCAAAAGCTGACAACTCAACTGAGCAAAAGCACTAGGGCTTCAAAGGAAATAGTTATCATGGTGCCCCACTTTCAGTGTATATTAATAAGCTTGGAAAAGGCAACACAGAGCACTCCTGAGGAAGCAGATCTGATCACTGAACACACAGAGGCTCTATTTAAGGAACATGAAAAAGCACACTGTAAGGCACAGTCTGAGGGGATGGAAAGAGTTCTGCAGGTTGCTAGTGTCAATCACAGGTCTTCAGCAGGGAAGTCAAAGTTATAAATCAATTCCCTGAACAGAAGAATAGGAAATGGGCAGGAAATAAACAAATAAAAGCTGCAGGAGTAGATGTAATGAGCTTTTATATTTTTTATAGATGCTGCTAACCTTCTGTTTGCACCCACAGCTGTGGTACAGTCACAGTTTGTGGCAATAGAATCATCTGGTTTTGCATCACTGTCTACTGAAGAATGATGCCAAACATGCTTTCTTTAGTTTCCAAGATCAAAAGAACACTACAAATGTCAACAGGGACAACCAAAACGAGAAATGCATTGCTAGCTTTCAACAGATCACAGAAAAGCTATCAGACTGACACAAATTTGATGCTGAACTATTACTCCATTTTCTGTAAAACCACATGTTGATGGCTGGGTGCACAATATCCCCCTTCCCCCAGCAACTTCCCAATTATAAACACCTTTCCTTTTCAACCCCTACCCAGAGTTCCAGCTCATACTAAAGTTAAACTGAAGAATTGAACAATTCACCCCGATAAACATATGGGATGCTTATTCATACCTGATTGGGTCAGATAAGAAGCAAAGGCCCCAGGCAAGCTTGACTTTTTGCCAGAAAGAAAGTGCAGCAATTGCTCTCTTAAATGTAACAGGGATAGGTCGATCTCCAAGATGGAATTTACAGAAAGGTACTTTACTGGCCTGAAAGAGAAGACACAAATCACTAGTCAACATTTCATACTGCAGCACAGTACATCCTTATTAAGAGAATGTTTGTTTTATTGTGTTATACAAGGTATCTTAAAAAAGAGCAAGTAGTGTCATACTTCAACATCAAAAAAAAATTTTTGCTTTGCAGTAAATAAAATTGCCAAAATACTACTTTATAAAGGAATATATCAGCTATAAGATGCAGTAGGCATTACAGTAAAAACATTAAGTTGTAATGCCACCCTCTTCAGGTTACTTTTACCTAAGCAGAAAACTCCTGCTTATGACTACTTGAAGTGAACAGATGGGGCTCAATATTTATCTGGGTCTGAATAAAGTCTAAAGTGAAACAACTGTGGTCATTTTGCTTTTATGTAGGATTTGTCAGAATCACTAACTTATCAGTTTGTCATGGTAAAATATATTCAAGCAGCAGCTTATGAAACAAGAACTGATGCCAGATACCACACGACGATGTGAGGTGAGACTTTGCTGTAGCTTAGACTGACAAATTTGAGCACAGTACAGAATTCTCAGAAAATTCTTTCCTATGCATACCTGTTTAAAAATTTCAAACCACCACTTTAGAACAGGACAGAGCTAATATATTTTTTTTTTTTCTTTCCCATTTAAAATGGGAAACATTTTAAATGTTTCACTCTGGTCTGGAATGCTCAGGAAAAAAACCTTGAAACAGTTCTCTCTTTATTAAGGATAAATACACCTAATTATTCCAGATTCACAGCTATTTTATCTCAGATTTCCTCACTAGTACCCAATTTACATAAAAACAGCAAGATACATTCTGCAAGGCGGATATATACAGTAAAAATAGTGTCTCAGTATTCCCAGACAAAAAAAAAAAAGAGTAGCTGTGATACAGAAGTAGTCCAGCTACTATTTACTTCCCAGTATCACAGCTGGCAGTAGTACAAAAGAGAATGTTAAAAGATCAGATAGGACTAACAGACCAGTCAGCTATTCCACTTCCCCAAACAATCTTTCTAGATGAGTATGTTAGACCTCATTAATGCTTTAGAGTTGGTTTTCATAGCCTGAAACCCTGACAGCACCAACAGTGGGACCAGGATCCATATCCAGAATTAAAAAACGATTATTTAACAGGAACAAAATAAATAAATTATTAATTAAATGAAAACAAATGCCATCAGAAATATAATCAGGAAAACCCCTTATCATTTGAAGCCTTTTTGGAGTTGCTTTCATGCCACTTAGGGCTACAAACCTCTGTACTTTCGAGTATACTTTGAAGCCGAAGCCGATTCTTACTACTTCACAGACTTCAGCACAAGTGTGGTCAGAGTGCTCTTTTCTACTCACTAACAAATGGGTTTATTTGTTTCGACTCTGGGAGCAAAAGGCCAGTAATTTGATCTCAGAAAAACCATTTCAAGTTCGCACCTCTTTGAAAGCCTCCCTGAATTCTCCTCCTGGGGCCATTCCCAGCTGTTCTGTGATGTGAGCAGAAACCTTCAGAAGCAGCATTTGCATCAATCCAGACATGACTCCATTCTGGCGGAAGAGGGAGAAAAACATTTAAAAAAAAAGAAAAATCAATAAGCTGTTGATTCTCAGAAGAAGAATGCACTGTTAACAGTCATGAAGAAAACATTAACTATCTTAATGAAGAAGCAGCACGGAAGCTACCTTTTGGAGCAAATTCAATCTGATCAATACAGCTCTTTTGTTTCAGTTTGTATCAGTTGTGAAGTAGCTTTTCACTTCAATGTGTAGCCAAAGTATTCTCCCTTTCAACAAAAATGTATGGCAGAGTTAAGAAAAGAAAGGAAGGCAGCCAGACTTACTTCAGTCTATATTTACTCCACCTGCTTGAAGAAAGCGTCTGAATAACTGAATGGTAAAACAGCTCGTACTGTGCATTTAATTTTTCTTGATCTATCTGGTTACAAAAAAAAAAGGGACCACAAGAGTATATTCCATTGAATGTGCAGTGAACACCACATTATAGAGATACTGAAAGGGATACAGCTAGTGGTCTAATCATAAACACTTCCAGAGTCCTGGGAAACACTAGGCTGGGAACTGGTTAGGTTAACAGACACAGAAACAGAGAATCTAGCATTGTGCAAGAAATTGCTGTGCATGACTTCAGCACATAAGACCTTAGAAAAGGCCTCACAGTCCCGAGTATGACTCACCCCCACAAGCTGACTGAAGGCCCCTCCTTGCAGAGTCTATTACTTTTTGAACAGAAACCTAGAATCAAGATTCTTCTTTTTAAAAAGAAAAAAATTCTCCTATATATACTAATGCAAAATTTCCCTTCCCTATCCTTTTACAAAAAGAATGAAAAAACATCTCAAACAAATGCATTCAGAGTTGTTCCTTCTGTCCATCTCTGGCTGTCCTCAACCAGTTATTTTTACGACTAAGACTCAGTGGCTGAGTGTCACCTGTCCCCAAATGTAACCTGTACCTTGGTTATGCATCTCCTCCAATTTGGCATCAGTCCATACTCCTACCAAAAGGCATTCCCCCTTCCCTTACCAAAGATTAATTTCTTGCTACATCACCAGCTTTGCACAACTGAAGATGAGGTTACATGGGATAGCTTGAGTTAATATAACTGCTTGAAGTTACCAGAGGAAGGTCCTGGTCTCCATTCCTTGCCCCCAGGGCCATGCTCAAATGACCCACCCTGTGCCAGATCTGATGCTTGTGTGACCTCTCCAAAGGCTGAAGGCAGTTTCTGCAGTTAAGTGGACTTGAGTCACTGAGGACCAGAACTGGCAAAAGAGAGGGGCTATTTTCAATGCTTTATCATGCTACAAACTAGCAAGCATGGCAGAAAGACAGTGCTGGACTCCTGGGGAGAGACGAGGAAGAAAGAGGGCAGTGAGAAAAAGGGTTTTCAGCATCCTTGAGATCCAGTTCAAAAGCCTGAGGGACAAGGGTTTCCAGAAGTTCAGAAAAGATGCCCACAAAGAAAAGAAAACGAGGATAATGCAGCCTGAGGTTATTTGCTGGCTGATCTCTCCTTCAGGATATTTGAAGTTGCATTTTTACACTATGACAGAAAGATTCATCCTGCTGGCTAGCAGAGGGATCTGGCTAGCATCGCTGAAGTGTGTCCGAGTCATTTGTGCTCTTAACCTGCATGAAACTCAGTGCCTGCCATATTTGCTCAGTATCAAGGAGATAAAAGGTGACAAGCAGCCGCATGTAGCCGCAACCAGCAACAACTGGCCAGCCAGAAAGTGCTGGGGAATAAAGAGCAAAATGTATGAAAAACGATGGGAGCAAAACAGTAAAAGAGGTTATTATCAATACCAGATTATTTAATATCAGACAAAGGAAAGCTGACCAGAAAATAACATTAAATCCTGAGTGGCTGGCAATAATTTCACAGGTTAGATGCAACAGTCATAAGCACAAAGCAATGCACAAGTAGAAAGAATCTTAACTGCACAGGCAGAGGGATGCAGACCTATTAGCACACAGGAGAGAGAAAGCAAAATACTGATTTTATCAGCCCAGTGTTCAACAGCAGTCATAATGCAAGAAGAGTGAGTGGGATTACCAAGGAAAGGAACAAAATAGAAACATCAATGCGCTGCTGTACAATCGTGAGCAGACTCCCATCTTGAAAACAAGATACTTGAACTAGAAAATGTGCAAAGAAATGCCAAACATATGAGAAGAGATTAAACATATTATATGCTCATGAGGCTTGGGAAAGGATGACTGAGGAAGATACGCTCTATCGGACACCACGACTAGCACGGAGACAGTGAAAAGGACAGGAAGAGAGAGGAATACCCAGGTAAAGTATGACTGCAGGTTCAAATGCCTTTCCCCAGGCATCTGTTATTGGCAGCTGCCAGAGGGCTTCTGAAGCAGATAAATCTTCCACCGGACTCAGCACAGAAACACTTAAACTACGTGTGGGAACACAATCTAAGGAGCGGGCCTTGGGGCTACTCTTCAACTGTGTAACAAGTCACAGATCCAGCACTAACTGCAGAACTGCAGGCAGAAACAAACGGTTTGTATTTTAGTCCTCTGGATTTCTTCTTTTCAAAACGTTAATTCCCATGGACACAGCCCGGTGCAAACACAGCCTTGTCACCTGGAGCCTGGAACTGGAGTTCCCTACTGCTGCAAGCACACTGGAGGTTAGACTTTAAAGTGAAGCTAGCAAGTGACAGCAACCTGCTCCTTTCCATATGGATGTACCTGTCTTCTACCAATTAACATTATATCCATCTTATTTAACAGGACAATCCTGTAGGTTACCTAAACATGGAGGCCTGTATTACACAGTGCAAAATGAGAGCTTTTTCACTGGCCAGAAGCATTAAAAAAAAAAACAACATTACAATATATTCCCGCACAGGTAACCTCAGCTTAAAGGACTAGGTTAAAAAAGTGAGATTGAGCTAAAATTTTGCTGCCACCAGCTCACTTTCTCTTTTGCCCCAGAACAAGGTTTCTCAATTCCTCTCTGTGTCAGGACTAGCAATCATGCAGCCATGTAGCGACATGATGCAGCTAAAAAGCAACCCCTGTTCAGACTGCCACGTGGCCATGGACACAGAAGGGACAGTGGAAACAGGAAATCAGGGGAGAAGATAAAACAAAACTTGTCTTACCAGTTTGGTTTAAGCCATCTGTTACTGTGCAGCTTCAGGTAATCTGCATCTGAGCCAGATACCAGTTGCACTGTGTTGCTTTGCTTAATGGAAAGCAAACAGGTAGTTCTCTGCAAACAGCTGTAAGGGTTTTGAAATTCAAGGAGGGGCTGGAGGAGGGCTGTTTTTAACCTGCAACAGTTGCTTGATAAGCTGTGAATACCAGTGACACATTGCAAGTGTGTAATAGTTTCGTATTAAAACTCTGCTCAGTTTCCAACTTCAATTAAGAGCAATGAAATGCAATTTTACTGCTTAAGATTTATACAAGTGATTATAAGAAGTTTTCTTTTCCTAATTTGATAAAAGTTATAAGCAGCTTTGACTTTTGGTGTTAACTTTTGGGCCCGAATGCACATTTCAGTGCGAGGGGACAACTGAAGCATGACTGAGCAACTTACCAACTGGTTTGATTTTTACTAGAGAAAAACAAAGACACTATAGTTTAGCATGAGACAGTTGGACTGTTTTTCCTGGTTTTCCCTATATAACCCATGCTGCTACTGAATCAAAGGGGGAAGGTTGGGTTTTTTTTGGTTGAGACTACTGATGGAGAAATGTATTATTTAAAAGGCACATTGTCCAACTTTTATTATTTGCTTTATTCCTGGTGACAAAGGAGACTAAGATTGAGCTGTAACAATAGGAAGGATCTTTGTATTATTCTCTGGCTTTGGAGCGAACACAATTTGTGTTTCCTACTGTCTGCACACAAGATCACTTCAAGCCCTGGGAGGAGGTGCTAATTACAAAGCTGCTAACACGAATTTAGATCACAGAGAAAGTCTGCTATTTTATTTTCATTGTCCTTTTCCTTTTAACATAGAAGCACAGCAAAAACTGTTGCATTTAGCTTTGATATTAAAAAAAAGGCTTCTGTGCCTGTTTATGAGGTCAGAAGACCCCCAGCTATGCTGCTCTAGTTGTTGTGAACATGCATTCTTTTGGCTACATGCATCAGAACAATCCACCTTACCTAAAATAAACAGATGGATGCAGTAATTTCATGCAATATGCAAGTGTTTTGCAATGTTCTTTCCTTTGATAGGACAGAAATAAAGAAAACAGGAAAGACACATTATTGCCTAACTCTACAAGTCAGAAAGCCTGCACTAAGACATTATGTGCACGCCTGCGCACACACACACGTAGACTAGGCCCTAGCCAGTGCAAGTGCTTCTGCATGGATGCAGGTTATATTCTTAGGAGGGGTGCAACCCTGGAAATTCCCCAATTGCATCAATAAAACAATTCCAATATATCATTACCACAAAACCAAAATAACAATCTATGAATTCGTTCATTCAGCTGGACACTGGGAACTCTTTTTACTACTGACCACATACTGCCATTCTAATCAAATGTCCTGTCATTTTTAAGTCAACTTTGTGCTGTTTCACTGTGCCTAGCTTAAAATTACTTAAATACAAGCTAACTGGGTGAAACTGAAAAAATACAGGACAACACTTGTTTCGCGCACACATCACAGACAGTGTCAAACTGCCAGATTAGTTATAATTTGAATAGAATCCCACAATTTTCAGCCCAGATTTTTCAAAAACCTCCCTTAAGGCCCACTGTCAATGAGAAACTACTCAAAAGATAAGTGGATGGGAATTAAAAAGAAAGAGCAACACACTAGGATGAAGAAGGAATGCAACTAAACAGACCACGGCAGACAACACCAAAATTAAGTGTTCCTTAAATAGCTGTCATAAATATGATTATTATTCCTGCAATCTGCACCTGTAAGTGTATTAGTGGAGCATTACAATTACAAAGTTAAATTTGTATCCTGCAAATGGAGCAACTGTTTAACCCGGGAGGATTCCTGCCTAGGTCAACAACTGCCCAAACAATCCTGTTGTGGAACAGAAGCCCTCAATACTCCAGCTGAAAACAAAATACCAAACCTAACTTAGCCACTGTAATGGTACTCTCACCTAGGTGAACAGTATTAGGTTCCCAGCTGGTGGGAAGGCTGGTTTTGGTTGTAACTTGACAAATTGCTCTTGACAGAAACCTTTAATTCTCACTGTGGGAATCATACCTGCTTTATAGCTTGCTGAAGTTTTTCCAGATTTATTTCTTTGGCTTCCTTTAGTAATGTCTTTTCATCCATTTTTAACATAGAAACTCTGTACTGGCATAGTTCCACCACAACTACATCAGGCTGTACTTCTTGTATTGTCTGAAAAACATGAGTTTATTTACACCAGTTTAGGAAGGATTAAACAGAAATGCAGCCAATATCGATACTTTCAAGAGAAAAGGGACTTAAAAGCACATTCTAGCAATCATTTTCAATTAGAAGAACAGTGGAAGAGTAAACAAGACTTCTCCAAACAGCTATGTATTGAGAAAAACATTAAGGAAGATGACAGTGAAATGCTTTAGCTACTGAATGCTTTGGGACAGGAAGATGGAGAACAAATTGTGCGGGGGAGGAACTTGATGTTAAACTTTTCACATTCACAAAGTTCCTTTGACCGTACTCTGCGACCATTTGCAATCTGAGTTAGAATAAGCTTTCTAAGAACCAGGGTTGATGATTCTGGCACAAGATTCCTCCCCCTCTAGCTCCTGGAGAATAAAGCCACTCTAAACTGCAGACTTTGCATGAGGTACAGTATGAAATAATTCCTACTTTCACTAGAGCTTCGGACCTATTTGTATCTTGTATTCCATTTGCAAGTTTGGGGCACCATGGTTTTACAGCTCAGTATTACACACCTTGGGCACAGAGAAGCTGTAAACTGCAGTTTTGTTCTAGGCTTCACATCTTCTCAGCATGTCCCCATCACTGTGAGTATGCAACAACCACAGTACGCACTGTCGGTGTGACATGATGCTTTATCGTGACAGGCAGGGTAAGCTTCACTAGTGAGACTTCTAATTTCAACACTGGCACTATCTACATTTGTTGTTTAAGGGCAAATAAAAGTATTTGTGATGGGAGAGCAATGTATTGCATCAAAAAATTACTAAGATAATATGGCTGCCTCTCAGTTCATCCTACAGTGCTGTTAGCCCTCCAACAGTCAAGTTGAGAAAAACAGAGTCTGGAGGTTATAGCACAGAACCAAGCCAGAGAGCTGGACTTCACTCTACTTATTGTTAAGTTGACAACATCATAAACATGCTGCTGAAGGACTTCCACTTAGTCTTTACCTTCACTACATCCTTTTTGCTGCTGTCACTGAAGTGGGCTGTTCCAACCACATATACTTTAGAACCATCCTCTGTGTCAAGCTCAGTCACAGTGCTTGGTAAATTAGGTTTTTTCTGCCTCTTCTTCATCTTCATCTCCAAAAGAATTTTAAATGCATCTGCATCAGCTATAAACATAAAGAAAAATAGAAAAGAAAAGCACACATGACTCTAAAGTGCAGCTAAGTAAAACAGAAAATAAAAATGTCACCACTAGACAGCAGAGCAGAGCTAAAAGGCCATTGATTTACCACTGTAATCTTACATTCAATTCTGAGGCTACATCATTGAGAGTGCCACCACTGGAGAGGCTGCCTCCAAGCATGGGTCTCAGTCCAGGTTTCCTACCCTGTGGACACTGGGACAGGTTGTCCATGCAGTTCAG